CCATGTCCCCCCGGAACTGTCAGTCCCGTTGTTTTCTCCTCCAGATTGTTCATCCAGCCTGTCCTATCCAGACAGGCCTGAAATCATTCATTTTCAAAATAAGACAAGTTGTATCTAATACTATATAGACTATGAGAGTTTCTGAAAGGCTTCAAATCAACAGAATGTAACAGATAAGGAAAATTCCTTGTAAGCAAAGCAAGTAAGTTAATAATCTTTGGAGAAAACTGAAAGATTATTTTTGTTTATTTACATTTCAGATGCTTCCGACTTTGTATAACTTTCCCCCTCATGTATTTCTAATGAACCACAGCAAACCTAGCTCGACTAAATTGGAAGGCATAGCAATTTCAAAAATTGCTTGTAGATGCCGATGCAGTGGTTTCAGAGAAGTTGAAAAGAAAAACCAGTTGTTTTTATGTCTCAATAAATTTTTCATAGAATTCTAGAAAATAAAACCAAGCATTTTGATTAATCGTCCTCTGACTTGCAACCTTTACTTGTTATCTACAATATTCTTTCCTGTTTCTTTTTTCTTATCTTCCTCAACAATCTCCATTTTCTCCAGTAGTCACTTCTAATAAAACAATACATCATTGTAAAAAATGGTGGTCTATCCTGTAAATCTTCACCTAATTCACAATAAAAACTTCATTAAAAAAAAAAAAGAAGACACATCACTGCATTGGAAGTAGGCTTGCATACGTGTGGCCAGGAGAGAATGGCTAATGCTGTTGTTTTTAACACAACATTGCTTGAAAGGCAGCACACTTCACGCTCTGCAGTGTTATTCTTTAGTCCATTCTCTGCTTGTCCTTTTTGTTCACGCTTTTCTTTCTTTCTGACTTCGAGGAGTTACTCAAGTCATATTAACAATGAACTAAAATAAGGTTTATCAGTCACATCACAACTGACACCTGGGGGCTGTTCTGTGCAATACAGGAGATTTAGCAGCATCCCTGACCTCTACCTTGATGCCAGTAGCAAATCCCTCCCCCAATTGGCTGTGACAATCCAGTCTCCAGACACTAGGAAATATCCCCATTCCGAACCAGTAGTATGAGTGATCCAAGCACTTTGAGTTTTTAAATTCCATAATCCAAAAAGAAATTCTTTGACATATTTCAATCAAGTCACAATTAAATGTTTTAAAAAAATGAATTTATTAAACAGACCTACTGCTTCATGTACATTGTCATGCTAAAAATTCAGCATGAAACATCCTTCACACACCTAAATAAACAATATCTAAATATTAACACACCTCCATTTACTTGACTTTTCCGTCTTACTCGAGCTATCTGTTTGTTAGGCTTTTCTCCTGTTCTTGGTGTTGAAGTGATCAAATTATTATCAATATCACGTTCAATTCTACTCCGCTTCGAAGGATTTTCTCTCTCTTCCTTGAGATTAAGAAGAAAAAAGCCCAGTGAGCACATTTTGTCTTATAGATTAATTTTTTATGTATAGGTTACTTTTTTTCCTGTGTGGCTATTTTAAAAAAAATCATTTTATTAGGGGCTCATACAACTCTTATCACAATCCATACATACATCAATTGTGTAAAGCACATTTGTACATTCATTGCCCTCATCATTCTCAAAACATTTGCTCTCCACCCAAGAGGTTACGTTTTTTAATGGTAAGATATATGTAACCACCTTGTTTTTCATAAAGGAGCCCTAGTGGTGTAGTGGGTTACGCAAGGTTAGCAGTTTAAACACACCATCTGCTCCTAGAGAGAAAGATGAGGCTTTCTGCTTCCATAAAGACTTATGGAAACCCAAAAGGCAGTTCTACCCTGTCCTAGAGGGTCACTATGAGTAGGAATTGACTTGATGGTAGTCAATTTGTTTTTCCTATATAGCAGAAACAAATGCCATCAATATCCAACAGTAGCAGAAGACACAGGAAAATTTGACAGTGTTTTGAAAGTATTTACTAATGTAGTCTACAATACACAAATATAATTACAGCATCTCCACAATTCATAGTCTGTCCCCAGGGTCCATTAAATTTCCATGCTATTTAATCCTACAATGTGCTCTAAATTTTAAGCCAATTTCTCATTATTCTTAGAATTGCATTAAAGAACAGAGATTGCCTACATATGCATTCAGGGTAGGAGGGAGAACCCATTTGGAACCTGCTGGCTTCAAATCAACAGAATATTACGTTACCAAAGCAGGCACAAAAAAGAATAAGGGCTGCCATATCCCACTGCCAACTTTGATAAAACACCCCAAAACAAAGCTTTTTATTCATTGCCTTCTATAGGGTAAGGTGACATGACCAATTTATGCTAATCTTGCAGTAATAGTGTTTAAAACAGTATATACCAAGCTATAGCTTGAATTATTCTCCATTTATAAATCTAATTTTCTCCCATTTGAAAATTTTTCAAAGTTCTCTAAAATGTGAGTGATTTTTCTTGTATTGATGTATAGGGCTTACAATTCCTTTAACTGATAATTCCTTGCTGATTTAATTTATGTGTATAACCAAGATTCTTATTCAAAAGGTGTAATTTCTCTGCTCTGCATTCTCTGCTTTTCTCCAACACAACTAATAGATTATTGTGCATTTTGTGAAGGTTGAATACTGCTTTGTTATCTTAGAAGCAACCCCTGGTATTGTAAATGGTCCAAACATCCATTTCCTTATTTGAATCAAAACAAAAAAAGACACACACTACAAATATTACTTAATATGGAATTTTAGTATCTTACTCAGTAGTTTTTCTAATTATAGGTTTTCCAATAAAATATGGCATTTTACCACACAATATAATGCCTAAGTGATCTAATTCAAAATTATTTCAATTTTAATGTTTATTACCTTGTTATTTAAAAATGATGAAGAAGCACACACACCCTTTCCCTTAAGTATAGTTAAGTATAGGTGAAAGGGATTTTGCTTACACTGCAGTCAAGCTGAACGTTTTTCACTTTCCAACAACATATATAATTCAATGTCCATTATTCAGGACCCCCTTAACTATAGAAAAAATCATGTCTGAACCAGTATAACACAGCATGCTATACTGATATTATCCTTCTATTTACCAATGGTATACAAGCTAACTGATACAAAACACCCTGTCACAGAGCAGACTATAAAAACTCGAAATTCACTGCCATTAAGTCAATTCCAACTCATAGTCATCTTATATGACAGGGTAGAACCAGTCCTGTGGGTTTCCCAGGCTATAACTCTATAGGGGAGCAAAAAGCCCTGTCTTTCTCTCGATGAGGGGCTGGTGGTTTTGAACTGCTGACCATGTAGTTATCAGCTCAACACTTAACCACTACACCACCAAGGATCCTTAGAAAAGACTATATACTGCAGTCAGTTAACCAAACAACCAAACTCCCCGCCATCTAGATTTTCTGACTCACAGGGATCTCATGATCCCCTGTGATCTCATGAATTGCCCCTGTAGGCTTCCCTGGTTGTAACTCTTTAGGGGAGTAGAAAACCTCCTCTTTTTCCTGCAGAGAGGCTGGTTGTTTCAAATTGCTGACCCTGAGGTTAGCAGCCCATTGCGTAACCCACTATGCTAAAGAGCCAACAAAAGCTAAAAGCAGTATTTGCAACAAAGCAAGGAGACAAGGCTATTCCCACAAACCCCAAGAAGCAAGTGGATGAGAGCAAACTACCGAGAACTAAAACACTTGAGTGCCATAAACCAGTGCAGAAGAAAAGAGGGAAGCAACTAAGTGCCTGCTGATCAAACTTGCTGCCATCAAGTCAAGTCAATACCGATTCATAGTGACCCTACAGAGCTGGGTAGAACTGCCCCTCTGAGTGTCTGACACTCTATTTCTTTTATAGGAGCAGAAAAATCCTCATCTTTGGAGAACCCCAAATTGCTGACAGGTATACGTATCAGAAATGATGGCAGGCCAATTCAAAAACAGCAGATGAAACACATGTAACAAAGATGCCCATGGTGAGAACTAAAATGACCAAAGCAGTCTAACTCTTGTGAACTCCTGGAATTCACCAACCAACTAATGGTGAAACTGGGAGTCTGAACAAAAATGGGTATGCTTTATATAGAGTGGCTGTCTCTTAACCTGAACATATTATGATACATATGGAAACTAGCTGACCGAGGGACACTTCCCTTCCCTTCCCTAATGTAAAACAAAAGGAATGTAAATTTGCTCTTTCAACATGGGCAGATAAATGGGAACCAGGTAAGGTTGCCCAACCCCATTAGGTGAACCTGCTGCTATCAGGTAATTGCAACTCATTAGGAACCTCAGTGTCAGAGAAGAACTGTGCTCCATAGGTTGAGTCCACACAGGTCACTAATTTGAAACATTACAGAACAGAAGAGTACCGGTGCAGACAAATTCTTTGTAAAATTATCCCTTTGTGGAATGTAGACTGGGACGACTTATGGCAAGTAAGCACATGAAAAAAAGATTCTCATTTGGAAACTGACTGTGGTAGCAATTGTACAATACTGCTTGACGTGACTGAACTATGGAATGATTTATGTATTAACTCCCAGTTAATAATAAATTTTTTGAAAGATTCCAATTATACACGATTAGGGAACAGCACATTAAAACAACAGTAAAATACCATTAAAACCCACTGCCATCCATTGATTCTAACCCACAGCCACTCTATAGGGCAGAGTAGAAATGCCCTATACAGTATTGTAAATATTTATGGATGAAGACTGTCCTTATTTTTCTCCCACAGAGGCTTTTAGGTTGAAACTGCAAACCTTTTCATTAGCAGTGCAGTGCTTAATCAATGGGCTCTTTGAACATTTCTCAGAATGGTTAAAACCAAAACTCTGATAACACCAAATGCTGGTGAGGACACAGGGCAATAAGTAAGAACTCTCATCCACTGCTAGCAGGATGCACATAGTAAAGCCACTTTGTAACAGCTTCTTACAATGCTACACATAGGCTTACCACACAACCACCCTGCAATTGCACTCCCAGGTATTTCTCCAAATGTGTGGAAAATGTGAAGTTCCTCAAAATCTGCATATAAATGTTTACAGCAACTTTACTCATAATTGTAAAGAATGTGGAAGCAATAATGATGCCCTTTATGAGATAAATGGATAAACAGTGGTACATCTATATAATGAAATATTATTCAGTGATTATAAAAAAAAGAAAAGAGCTATCAAGCCACAAAAGGCATGGAGGAACCTAAGTGCATACTGCTTCAGGAAAGAGGGCAATCTGAAACCCTTACCGAGGCTGTGCAAGCAAAGTACATATTTTATAAAAAGCAAAGCCACAGATACAATAAAAGGGGACTCTGTGAAGGGAATGAAGATAAAGCACAGGATGTTTCTTAAAAAGATTGAGAAACTGTTCAGTATGATACTGAAATGGTAGAAACATGACATTAAGTATTCATCAAAACTCACAACTATATAAGAAATAAACCCTTACGCACACTGTATACTTAGTAACTATTAAGAAGTAACAATATATCAACATTGGGTCACTATAACAATGTACCACCGTACTATAAGATGGTAGCAAACTCTGTCTTACTCAAGTTCAGAGGGATAACAAAAAAACTTTACATAGGTCACTAAAGTTGGGTAGAATACAACTTTATTTCTGGCTCTTATTATTCAATTAAAAAAAGTCTTTACTTTCTTTTTGATGAAGTAATAAAGTAATACATTTTCATGATATTAACAGGAAACAAACTTTTAAAAATCTCTTTTTGACAAACTTTTTTTTTAATAAAAGAAAATGAAGAGGAACTTCAGATTTTGCAAGTCATACTTTGAAACAAGTACAAAAACACCAATGCATCTAGTAACATCTGATTTCTCATCTTTACATGATTCAAAAGAGCAACCTAAGCTTCCCTTCGAAGGATGTAAGTATAAGGTCAAACCATTACCTTAGGTGTGCTTCCTTTAATGAATTTTTTAATCGAAGACAACAAGCCAGTTTCATTCTTCGGTGGTTTTTCTCCTCCTGAAGGCAGGCTATCATCAACTTCTGAATATTTCCTCTTTGCTCTGGCAGTACGTTGTGTTTGGATTGGATTTGATTGCTGAGAAGCTTTCCTTGTTCTCAGTCTCATCTTTTATGGGTACCACATGTAAATCTATAAAAATATATATATATATTTATTAAAATTAAGCCTAGTAGTACACTCATATTATAGGAGCATGGAGAATACAAGTAGTTGACAGTTGGGTGCTAACCCAAAGGTTGGTAGTTTGAATCCACCTATTAGCTCTGTGGCACAAAGGCCTGGTGAGCTGCTTTGGTGAAGATTCCAGCTAAGAAAACCCTACGGTGCAGTTCTACTCTGTAATAACAAATGTGGGGTTCGCCGTACGTCAGAAGCCAACTCAATGGAGGCAACATAACACTCATCTTACAGAAAACCAACCCAAATCAATTCTGACACATAGCAACCCTACAGGGCAGCGCAGAACTTCCTCTGTGGGTTTCCAAGGCTCTCACTCTTTATGGGAGTAGAAAGCTCCCACCTTTCTCCCACAGAAAGGTTGGTGGCTTCGAACTGTTCGTCTTGTTTGTTAGCAGCCTGATGCATAACCACCACACCACCAGAAGTGGCAAAAAATATTCACAATCTGGAAAAACACGCTAGCGTGTACAATAAAAACATAATGGTTACAAAGAAAGAAGTTTCTAGGGGACTGAAATAAATTAACATCATCAGAAGGCACTTTTACTGTACTTCATATATATATATAATTCCAAGTAACCTTCTCATCAACATCTAAAACATATCTTATGATTTAAGTAGATAAGATATACAGCATAAATGTTTTCTACAGTACAGTGGGAGCTTTTTAAAAATTCATGGATAAATGGAATTGAAAGATAATGAAACTTTCCATTAACTTTTTAAAGCCCCCCCCCTTGTAGGCTGCCTCTATCTATGTTGACATTATAAATCATTTTCAAGTACTTATTGAACAAGTAACCAAATTACAGACAATGGCTACAAAGACATTGAAAATACAATAGTAAACATGACAGGGATGATTTTGCCCTTTAAGAATGACTTTCATGTGCACAAATTCTTCTGAATTCACAATATAATTATGTAGCAAGAGTGACTAGATCGCTTAGTGCATCGGTTCTCAACCTGTGCATCGCATCTCCTTTTGGGGTGGGGTGGGGTGTGGAACAACCCCTTTCACAGGTGTCACCTGATTCATAACAGTAGCAAAATTACAGTTTCGAAGTAGTAACAAAAATAATTTTACGGTTGGGGGTCACCACAATATGAGGAACCGTATTAAAGGGTCACAGCATTAAAAAGGTTGAGAACCACTGGCTTAGTGGGATGCTAACCTCATAATACATAATGATACTTTACAATGAAATTCACATCAGAGAAAAAGAGGTCTTCTTAAACCGTCTCATTTTATAGATGAGAAAATTAATGGCTGGCAAAATTGCCCGAACATTTAGAAATAGTTAAGGAAATACCTTGACTTAGAACCTGTTAGGGGGCTGGCCCCAATCCCAACAACTAAGTGGACACCTGCCCCTCCTCCCAGAAGAATTTATTTCAAAGGACGGCAGGCATTGAATCTGCAGCTCCGGGAGAGGGACATATCTGATCGGAGTACATGGTACATAGGTGCAGATAAAGGGGGAGGAGGAGAGAGTGGAGCACATCCTGACCCACCAGGCCATGAGGACAATGTTCCCAATTAGAGCAGCCAGTCCACAGAAAGGACCACATGGCTGACCCCACTATGAGACACGACGCCCCTCACTGACCCATAGCCCTACAGGGGACAACACCAGAGACAACACCAGCGCACCCGATCTGATCCCACTACGAGGCAAAACACTAAGGGGGTGCAACAAACAGCAAGGGAGTAGAGCAGTGAGGTCTCCAGGGAATCCTGAAGGTGGACTTTGGGATCAGGGCGTGGTGCCCCAACAGACTGGACTGGAAAACACTCCTAAAGGCCAACAAACAATCCTTTGAACTAACTACAAGCTTTTCTTTCATGTTGTGTTTTGTTTTTTGTCATTGGTTTGTTGTTGTTGATGTTTTGTTGTATATTGTTGCTTAGTTTTGCTCTCTTTTTTGTGTGCATTTTATTATCTCTGCAGGTCTGTCTAAATAAGATAGGCTGGATGAACAATCTGGAGGAGAAAACAACAGGACCAACAGTTCTGGGGGGACATGGGAGAGGGGGAGGTGGGGGGAAAGCTAGTGGTGTTAACAAACCCAGGGACAAGGGAACAACAAGTGATCCCAATTGGTAGTGAGGAGGGTGTGGGAGGCCTGGTAGGGCATGATCAAGGGGAATGTAACAAAGAGGAATTGCTGAAACCCTGGTGGGGACTGAGCATGATAGTGGGACAGAAGGAAAGTCAAAGGAAATAGAGGAAAGAGCTGGGAGGCAAAGGGCATTTATAGAGGTCTAGATAAAGACATGTACATATGCAAATATATTTATATATGAGGATGGGGAAATAGATCTATGTGCATAGATTTATAGGTTTAGTATTAAGATAGCAGAAGGACATTGGGCCTCCACTCAAGTACTCCCTCAACGCAAGAATACTTTCTTCTATTAAATTGGCATTCTATGATGCTCACCTTCCCGACACAACCGCTGAAGACAAAGCAGGTGAATAAGCAAATGTGGTGAAGAAAGCTGATGGTGCCAGGCTACCAAAAGATATAGCATCTGGGGTCTTAAAGGCTTGTAGGGAAACAAGCAGCCATCTAGCTCAGAAGCAACAAAGCCCACATGGAAGAAGCACACCAGCCTGTGCAATCACAAGGTGTCAAAGGGATCAGGTATCAGGCATCATCAGAACAAAAAAATCTAACCATATAATGAGGGGGAAGTGTGGAATGGAGACCCAAAGCCCATTTATAGGCCACTGGACACCCCCTTACAGGAGGGTTTCGGGGAGGAGATGAGCCAGTCAGGGTGCGATGTAGCAACAATGAAACATACAACTTTCCTCTCGTTCCTAAATGCTTCCTCCCGGCCCCGCCCTCCCACTATCATGATTCTAATTCTACATTGCAAGTCTGGCTAGACCAGAGGATGTACACTGGTACAGATAGGAACTGTAAACATGGAATCCAGGGCAGATGGACCAGTGGTGTGAGTGGTGATACTGGGAGGGTAGAGGGAAGGTTGGTTGGAAAGGGGGAACTGATTACAAGGATCTACATGTGACTTCCTTCCTGGGGGACAGACAATAGAAAAGTGGGTGAAGGAAGACATCGACAGGGCAAGACATGACAAAATAATTTATAAATTATCAAGGGTTCATGAGGGAAGGGGGAGCGGGGAGGGAGGGGAAAAATGAGGAGCTGATGCCAGGGGCTTAAAGTGGAGAGCAAATGTTTTGAGAATGATGAGGGCAATGAATGTACAAATGTGCTTTACACAAATGATGTGTGTATGGATTGTGATTAAGAGTTGTATGAGCCACTAATAAAACTATTGGGAAAAAAAGAACCTGTTAAACAAAACAAAGACCATTAAACTGGGTCAAGAGATATGAATACTGCATCACTCATAGCTAAGTTATAATCACCTGTAGTGGGTTAAGTGTTGAGCTGCTAACTACAAGACTGGCAGTTCAAACTCACCAGTAGCTCCAAGGAAGAGTTTTTTTTATATCATTTTATTGGGGGCTCATACAACTCTTATTACAATCCATACATATATCAATTGTGTAAAGCACATTTGTATATTCATTACCCTCATCATTCTCAAAACATTTGCTCACCACCTAAGCCCCTGGCATCAGCTCCTTATTTTCCCCCTCCCTCATGAACCCCGAAGAAGATATTTAAGGAGTCATTCTACACTGTCCCACAGGGTTGCTGTGAGTTGGAATAAACTCAATGGCAAGGGTTTGGTTTTATAGAGAAAATATTTACCTAAGCTTGAGGCTCAAAATATATAAGGTATTAGAAAAGGTTATACAATACAAAGGATGAAAAAGATACAGTGAGTGGATTTGGAGACCAATCTAATCGTAAGTACCAATAGGTGTAGAAACTCCTGTTTTCAAGTTCCAATTACCAAATCCCAGAAGTGGTGTTTTTATTAATTCAACATAAAAGTCATGCACACACAAAAGTTAGAAACCCATACGCATAGAGTGGCCACTCCGCCAGGAGGTTCCAAAACGTCTTTCCAAATAACTATTATTTTCATAACCAATGGGTGCCCCACCACCTCCCACCAATAAATATTACCTTTTCCCATACGGGGCAATAAACTGCTTATATACCACCTTTCTAGTAATGATTTTGTGATTACAACAAAATAATTGGATAGGAGTATGGAAATAAGGTGCCTGTGATCAACCAAGAGGTTTGGACAATTATACCAAACAAACTCACAACTTTTGGTCAATTCAGATTCATGGTGACTCTAAATTTCAAGGTAGAACTGCCCCTGTGGGTTTCCAAGTCTGTAACTCTTTATAGGAGTAGAAAGCTCCATCTTTCTTCCAAGGAGCAGCCAGTGGTTTTGAACTGCTGACCTCAAGGTTAGCAGCTCAACTGATGACCACCATATACCACCAGGGCCCTCTATAATGAAATTAGGGTGCATAAATAAACCCCCATGGGGCTGGGACAACCCAAACAATGTGTATGGAACTTTTAACAAGAGGACCTCACTACCACCCTGAAAGAGCCAGGAGTGGAATGTGTCTTTTGGCCTCTTAGAAGCTCTCAAAAGCTCCAAACTTACTGCCATCGTATTGATTCCATTCCATAGAGACCCTGTAGAACAGGGTAAAACTGTCCTTATGAGTTTCTGAGACTGGGACTCTTTAGAAAGCCCTTTCTCCCACACAGCACTTGGTGCTGGTTAGCACTGGCTAGCAACACAACTCTTTACCACTACGCCACCAGAGCGCCTTACCTAGAAGCAACAAACTAGTAAACACTGACAATAGCTCAAGATAGTAAGAAGTGGCAGCAGAGGAACAGTGGCTTCAGAACCAGAACACCGGGACAGGATGTCACAGCGGGCTTCCAAGACTATGGGCAAGGTGGCAAGGGCTGAGCACCTGTTGGTAGAGCTAAAAAATTATCTATCAAGACTGGCCTGAAATATTCTA